ATAATAACTCACAGTTCAATTTAAGTTGCAGCGGTGGCGGCGGCTTCTGGCTTCGCCGAAGCGAAGGCGTCCTGGATCGCGGAGAATCCTCGGGGCTCCGGAGGAGTTCTAACCTACATCGTCCACATAGGACGACTCGGGAACTCAACTCCTACCCCGGGCAGCTCACCGATCCCCTTATGCCCAGGGGAAAGGTATCGAGCCGTTTGACAGCTGATGCTTGCTGTCAAAACGGCTTTTACGCGAAAACAGGCGGGAGGCAGCTGTCGGCTGCGTCCGACGAGGTCGCCTGCCACCGGAAGTCCCCATACATTAACTTTGTTAAAGACCAGTGGAACAGCTTGCCTTCAGAAATCGTGGGTGCTCCATCACTGGAGCTTTTTAAGAAGAGACTAGACCAGGGGTCTCCAAACTTGGCCTTTTTATGACTTGTGGACTTCAACTCCCAGAATTCCTCAGTCAATGTGCCTGGCTGAGGAATTCTGGGAGTTGAGTCCACAAGTCATAAAAGGGCCAAGTTTGAAGACCCTGGACTAGACAGTCACTTATCTAAAATGGTATAAGTTCTCCTGCTTGAGCACGGGGCTGGACTAGAAGACCTTGAAGGTCCCTTCCAGATTTCTATTCTATTCTATTCTATTCTATTCTATTCTATTCTATTCTATTCTATTCTATTCTAATGTTTTTCAAATTTGGCAACTTTAAGCTATGTGGACTTCAGCTGCCAGAATCCAGCTGCGGAATTCTGGGACTTGAAGTCCACACATCGTAAAATTGCCAAGTTTAGAAAACAGTGATCTAGCCTAAAGCTCTGCTTTTTCCTAGTGTGTTACCACATACGTACAGCCAAGAACGAACTATGGCTGACCCTATTTAAAATTTGAAGATCAGCCAATGTAAGCTGTACACACTTGCTTCCAAAGAATATAAATACATACCTCTTTATAAAAATATTATTTATTTATGCATGTTGTTATTATTATTATTATTATTATTATTATTATTATTATTATTATTATTATTATTATTATTATTATTATTATTGTTATTGTTGTTGATGATGATGTTGGAAGTGACCTTGGAGGTCATCTAGTCCAGCCCCCTGCTCAGGCAGGAAACCCTTTACCATTTCAGACAAATGGCTGTCCAATCTCTTCTTAAAGACTTCCAGTGTTGGAGCATTCACAGCTTCTGGAGGCAGGTTGTTCCACTGATTAATTGTTCTAACTGTCAGGAAGTTTCTCCTTAATTCTAGGTTGCTTCTCTCTTTGGTTAGTTTGCATCCATTGCTTCTTGTCCTGCCTTCAGGTGCTTTGGAGAATAGCTTGACTCCCTCTTCTTTGTGGCAGCCCCTGAGATATTGGAAGACTACTATCGTGTCCCCCCCTTGTCCTTCTCTTCATTAAACTAGACATACCCAATTCCAGCAACTGTTCCTTGTATGTTTTAGCTTCCAGTCCCCTAACCATCTTTGTTGCTCTTCTCTGTACTCTTTCTAGAGTCTCAACATCTTTTTTACATCGTGGTGACCAAAACTGGATGCAGTATTCCAAGTGTGCCCTTACCAAGGCATTGTAAAGTGGTATTAACACTTCACGTGATCTTGATTCTATCCCTCTATTAATGCAGCCTAGCACTGTGTTGGCTTTTTTGGCAGCTGCAGCACACTGCTGGCTCATATTTAAGTGATTGTCCACTAGGATTGTCCACAGTTACTACTATTGAGCAAGGTACCTCCTGAGCTATACCTGTGCATTTGGTTTTTCTTGCCTAAATATAGAACCTTACCTTTTTCACCATTGAATTTCATTTTGTTAGATAGTCCCCAATGTTCAAGTCTGTCAAGATCCTTCTGTATCTTAAGCCTGTCTTCTGAAGTTCCCCATCTATCTATCCCCATATATTCATATGCATCTAATTAGAGTGGTAGTAATATAGCATATTTCATAACATTCTTTACTAAGCAATACTGCATACAATATATTAATTTAGAAACAGTTATCAAATACAAAAAAAATATTCGTCCAGGCAATCTTAGAGATAAAGTATTTGTGGAACTGAATATATCTTGAAGCTAAATTCCGTTTGGTTGAACTTTGAGATATTCAGTATTTGTTTCTTGTCATTTTTTTAAATTAAGAGTCCTGAAAATTGCATCTCTTTGAAAGGAACTTTTTTCACAAGAAAATTATATAAATATCATCTCAATCCCACAGAATAGATTTAGGAACAAGCAACCTTTTCTTTGCATTTTTAAAAACTTTACCCAAGAGAACAAAAAGGAACTGGCTTTATTTTCAGCCATTTTAAAGAATACCATTGATAAGTTTGTAAAGAATATTGGAAGCTTAAAATACCTCTTTTATTTTTGTTCCTCCTGAAAATAATGAATATAAATAGTATATTAATAGCAATTAGTAGACATGTGATCTTGGGAATTTAGGGGACCTTAAAAATGAAGAGTTCATTTGCCCAGCTTGTGCTAATTCTGAGGGTTTATTTCCAATAAAGAGAGGAGAAGATTGTGTTGTCAACATCACAATGAATTTTAGAAATGACAACTAGTCTCCTTTTTGATAATCTTAATAATACAGTAATGTTCATTTACTTTGCTTAGATGATAAGAAGCCTTCTGAAGCAACCAAAAAGCCACCAGGGGGTAAGCATTAAATTGCAGCTGCTCAAATAAATACCACAATGCTAAAGCTTTCTTTGTGCCAGATCTAAAACTATAACTGAAATGTTCCCAATACCCTTTAAGAAGTTTTTCCTAATACTGTATACTGCTGGTTTGGACATTGTAACCCTTTTTGGAGTGGTTTTTTTTTTCCAGAGAGCAACTCCTGCTTAATTCTTAAAGATGAATGCCATTTTTTCCTGTCCCTTTCCATCAATTGCCCATTCCTAATGGTTATTGTAAGGAAATATAAAAATAATCTTCCAGTATTGATAACAAGAATAATAATTGGCATTTATGGGCATTGTAATCCAAGGTGTTTTTCTGGAGAAGAATAGATTAAAGAAATGTTTATTGTTCCTAAAGAAATAAAACGTATGATAAGGAAATTTACTGTATATCTGGAAATATTTATCCTAGGTAACAAACCCCGACCTCTCTTATATCCTGACCTTAGACCATATTCAGATAATCATGGAAATGGCGGTAAGAAAGGAATTTGTGTTATTTAGATCTATTCATAATATTTTTCCTTCCACTAGTTTGATTATGTTTATTGATTTGTAATATGTTGATTTAAGAAATTCCTTTAATGGTGGCAATGTCGGTGGCGGCACCATTGCAACTGGTAAGATTTGGTTTTGTTGTTAAGTTTTGAAATATTTAGCTACCTTTCTACTCTTTTCATTTAAATCCATTGATCAATATTATTGGAACATATTGATCAGCAGTTCTAATTTAATTTTTAGTACTTTAAAGAAAGTACTGTTCATATATTAACTAGGCTGTAAAGTAGATGTAGGTCATCAAATAAAGGGAATAGTATGTCAAGTTGAACTAGACTTCTCCTGAGATTGAATAGCATCCATGTGAAATATGAATGTCTATGCAAGAAAGCCTGAGTGGGAGTTGGCTGCAGGAATTTGCATGACCTTGAAAGACCAAGTTGTGTAACAAGGCCACAACAATTTCCTTTGGTGCTGCTTTCTTAATATTCCTCCTTACCTGTCTTTCATTTTAGTTATCATGCATAAGAATCTGCTTTGCTGTTCTGCATGATTGCTTAAGACTCTGCTTTTGACCATTTACATTTTTTAGATATCTGTAGTGTCAGCTCTGCCTGGCTTGGCTTGGGGGCTTCACAGGCATCCTGCCATTAAAAGAAGAGGGGGAGGAGGATGAAAGGAGGAAGAATGAAAGAACAATAAAGCTTTGTATACATGATAAGAAATTGGGAGGGGGGGAAATGACAGGTGAGAAGGACCAGAGCAGCCGGATCTTGTTTGTACCAGTATCCCACAGCCAGGCACCCTGAGAAATATGTGGATTAACCCCAAACATCTCAGAGTTCTCAAAACATCTTGGTGAGCTTCAGTTGGCTGGAAACAGTCTGATTATGGGTGGAGTGATGGGCTGGGGCAAACCTACATCTTATTTTTGTATCCAGTGAGCATGGTACTTTCAGAGCTAGCTTGATTTTACTGCAACCAACACTCTTAGTAAAAGAACCCTTTGCTCTAATCAAATGGAGTCGAAGGCTTTTCTTTCCTAAGGGATCGGATTGGAGCAGGTCTGACAGGTAGTTTCACATCAAATACCATCAAACCATTTGCAAGACACTTCAAGATGCATTTTGGTACATCAGCTAATGTTTCAGATAGATTCTGAAATCCTCAAGATGGAGAAAAGGAGAGTATGAAAGACAGGGAAAAGAGTAACAACATAATTAATTTTATTTTTTAGGTGCCTTTAATGACCTAGATCTCAATGATGGGAAATCTTTACCTCCACGCCCAGCAGGTAGCGTATAGATTTCTTTTCAGGTGATTCATGTTCCTGAACTTTAGCAATGTGGCAAAATAATTTAATTGGTAGATTTGCTTTTAACAAACATTTTAATCCATTATAGGCAGTTTGAAATTCATACTTTAACTTTTATAGAAGTCTGTTATATAGGGAAAATTGCCAAGATTCTCAATATTATCATTTTATAGTCTACTATTTAATATATAAACAGATCATAACATATTACGGTATCAATAGAATAACATACTGATGAAATGGAAAGCTCAGAAGTGATGTCCAGTGTCGTTGAAATAACACACATGCATGCTTATATTGCTACATGAATGCTGCACTTACGGTATGTCCTTAGGTCCTAATCTCTGACACAGGTTAGAGTGCCCCCATGAATTGTTTTTTATTCCCTCAACTTTCTTTATTCTCTATTTTGAGGATATATTTTCTGTAATATGTTTTTGAATATTTTTTATATTTGGTACTTTTAGTACTTGTGGTAGTGTGATTTGTTTGGTTTTTTTTAATGCTTCTGTTCCTGAAATAACCATGTTATTGACTCTATTTTAGGCGAGAGAGAGCAAACTTCAGATCAGGGTGGAAATACAGGTAAGAGTTTGTATTTGTTTTGTTTTGCTTTTGTGTCTCTGTGATTATTTAGAGTCAAAATGTGTAAATAGTAAATACTGTATATTTTTAAAGTATATTTTATAAACTAACTTTAAAAGAAAATGTAACTGGCGGTTCCTAGTCTGGAAGTAGCAGAGGACCACTTATTTGGAATAGTTGGGAAAAGATTATTTTTTTTATAAATGTTTTATTAATTTTCTATTTTGATAAACAAGTGCTCAATAGACAACGTGATGATTGAGTTCTTTAATAATTCGGTGATACATATAAGTTTTTTTCAACTAGGTCCAATGTTATACCCACCAGTACATTCTCTCTTCTTCTGGTAATAACATTTTTTCCACATTAAGCAAATCCAATTCTTATTATTGTTAGTAAACATACAATTGCATATCAACATTTGTTACATTTTTCTAATAATAACAATAATATCAGTTTAGAATATCTTTCCTAGCCAAAACATATCTTAATTGCATTTGCATTCAATTTCCACTCATTTAATCCATATCCTATTTTTGCTTTTTTTCAATTTTAGTTTCCCATCCATGTTCAAAGTGTCCCAATCATTTATAATTCCAAAACAAGTTGTATTTGGGCAACCAAAAGAATCCCTTATTCAAAGTTCTTAACATATTCTTATTTCCCTTTTCATACCAAGATATAATATTCTGATTACAAATCCTAGCTATCTATTTATAAAAATGTTTCTATTTCTAACAATCTATTCTTAACCATATTCAAACCTCTAATCAATAATATAGCATCCCCTCTATTAGGTCAAAGCTTCTGTTTCTTTCAATCTTACTCTAGCTTTCTTTCTTTGTCAATTAACTTTCCAAGTCAGTGCATTTGGATCATCAAATAATTCTTCTTCTATTTTTATATATATTATTTGGAACAAGAGAAACAATTTGGTTAAAATGTTTTTGGAAGAGCTAGCCCATTGATATTCATTAAACCACCTCCCTCCTTCTCTGGTTCCCCAGTTCTATTAGCGACTTTTCTTCCATTCCATCAGCTCTCCTTCCTTGTCATCCAGTATGTTCTGAAACCTTGGTTTATAAAATGTCTTTTCCATTTCCAATATTATCGTTATATCTTCTGAGTTTTCATTTATCTGAGTCTGGTCATTTGTTTCCTCCTTTGGATCATCATTGTTTCAGCATTCTCTAGTTTTCCTTCTATTTTCTGGGTTGCTGGTTCCTTCTCTGTAGTTGTCTTCTGGGTTTGTAGATTTGAATTAGAAAATTGTTCTTTTATCTCCTTTGTGTTATTAGTAACCTGCTCACAAACTAGAATAATTGTTTTTTGTATTAATTTCAGCATGGAGAGAATTTCTTTCTGTGTTTTATCAGTATTTTCTTGATGATATGGCAAGTTAAGGCTGCTGGGAACAGATGTTAAAGATGATGTTTTACTATTTAATGCTGAATATGAAACATCCATTGTTAAAGATGATGTTTTACTATTTAACGCTGAATATGAAACATCCATGGAAGAAGATTAATTTTTGATGAAAATAGTTGAAATGATCAGATATGGAAACAATCTATATTGTTGCTGCTACTCCTCCAGCCTTATCCCAATGTACTTCCTTAATTTTTTTCAAAACTACTATGCTTGCAAAATTAAGTTCAGTCCTTTCACTAAGCAGATAAGCAGCACCATATTTATTTCATTTTATTTCAGTCTCCAGTTGAAATCCAGCCAACACCCAAGATTTTGCTGTTTGTTTGTTTTAATGCAGGAAGAAAGAAAGATCAGGACGTATCTTTTGAACAGGTTGAGAAACCAAATTCCAAACTTCTGATCCTCTGGTTTCTCACATATTGTTTCCAAAAGAAAAGAAATCATCAGGGAAAAATGGGTTTGAGTTGAAGACAAAGTAATTTCTTGCCACTAGACCTAGTCAAACATTTGGGTTGTAAGGTTCTTCTGTTTTTCATTCTGTCCATCCCAAATGGCAACATCATTCTAATTTATTGATATTTACATGATTTGGGTAATGATGATGAAATTTCATTGTAATACATGTAAGTCCTCAACTTACAACCATTCATTTAATGACCGTTCAAAGTTACAATGGCACTGAAAAATGATTTATGACCATTTTTCACATTACGACCATTGCAGTATCCCCATGGTCACATGATCAAAATTTGGCAACTGGCTCATATTTATGACAGTTGCAGTGTCCCAGAATCATGTGATCACCTTTTGCGACCTTCTGATAAGCAAAGTCAATGAAAAGCCAGATTCATTTAACAAGCATGTTACTAACTTAACAACTGCAGTGATTCACTTACAGCTGTGGCAAGAAAGATCATACAATGGGATAAAGCATACTTAACAACCGAAATACTTAGCAACAGAAATCTTGGATTGAATTGTGATCATAAGTTGAGGACTACTTGTGGTGGTATTCTTAACTGATTTTCCCCCCCTCCTTAGTTGACTCTGCTACGACAGCTCAGATTACATCTCCTGTTGTTGCTATAGCTGTGATGCTGACCTTTGGGGCCATAGCTGGCTATACTGCTTATAAGCAGAAAAGATACTGTTTTAAACCAAGAGGTAAGACTGATTGCTTTAAGTGTTATAAAGTCTCAGTAAAATCAATACTGGATGACATAGCTTAGATAAGACTTGAGGATGTCTTAATTATATATAGGACATATTATATTAAAGACCGGTCTCTTCTCACAACAATTAGGGAAGACTTACAGTATTTCCAATGGGATCAATCAATCATTTTTAGTGAGTCTTTTATGATGGAAGGAATGAAAGAAAATAAAAAGCTAGCCTTTTTCTATGAATGTTTTCTAGAAGAAAAAAATACCAAGATTCTATGCTAATACTATTATTTTTAGTCTGCTGCTATAGAAACAAATAATAAAATTTCATTCAGTAACATCACAACTCATTAAGAAAAAATAAAAGCTTCATTTTTAAGATCTACCTATAAAGAATATTGTTTTGTTCTTTCTGTAAATTATATTTTGAATACTTTTGTCCAGTTAAAATTTCTGTCTAGTCCATTTGAGTAGTGTTTTATATGCCTCCTTAAAGAATTGAGAGGTGTCAGAAATATGCTTTAGATAGGAACCATTAATAAGGACATTTGACTGAATTTGTGGCTAAGCTTCTTGAGATGTGTTCTCTCTCAGGTGCTCTCTTAGATTGAAATCCCTTAAGGCTATTGGAACAATCCTATGCCTTTACTCTGAAGTAAGATCCACTGTATCAATGCTACTTATTCTCTTTTATGTTTATATTAGAGTGCATTTTTACTCGAGAGCGAAGGTGTTTTCTAGAAAAGCCTCTTACAATGCACTTAGTCTGTCTCATTCACAAAAATTTATAAATGCCAGACTTAATTACCTTCCATCCCATTCCATTATTTTTTCCATTTGTTTTCTTACCAAGAAATTATATTTTTGATTGAACTAGCATACTAGAAGCATCCAAGGATAAATTTTGCATATTATTTGTAATGTGTTGCACTATTTGTAACATAGTACCTTTTTTTTACATGCACACTTACGTTTTAGATGGAGCAGTTGCCTAAACCACTCAAAAATGATCCAAGAAATATTGAGTTCCACAAAATCATCAACAAATGAACGAACTGCATACTGTAATATCTATGATGCTGTTGCTAAGATTTTATGTAATGTGGCATTTTGTTTTTGTGTATAAAAACTAAAGAACAAACTTTCAAAACAAGAGATTGGTTAATGATACACACTGCTTCTACAGTGTATAAATTGTAAACACACACTTTGTATGATTTTTTTTTCAGTTCATACAGTTTAGAAACATTTTATGTTCTGTTTATTTAAGATCATTGGATCCAAATGATCAGAATCTCAATTTCACTCTTAGTATACAGACATTGGTTTATAGTTAAGGCTCTTTATGTACCCTTTTTCAGATCTTCAGGACTACTTAAAAATCTATGGGGTGATAGTTGCACTGAAATGTTGAAAGATGCACATCATGTCCTTTCTCTAATTTAGTTATACTGCATCAATGTTCAGGGAAACATTGTACTTCTCTTACTTTATAAATTAAATTTCATTGAAACAAACGTAATTGGTTATCTTCCTACATTAGCTACTTGAAACCAGCAACAAAGTCAGGCTTATGCACCCAAATTCCTTTTAGCATTTAACCTTATATGGAAATTGATACTATTGCTATATTGTTTAAAAGTCAAGGAATAGTTCACCTATTTTGGAGTGTGACTAGCTGAAATATTAATTTGGTGATAAAATACCAGGTGCTGAGAAATAAACATAGACTGTGGTCATCTTCATGAAGTTCCAAATAAGAATTATTATATTTAAAGGAGATGGTCAGGAAAGAGAGAGTCAGGAATACACTGGAATATGTATATGGTTTTTCCTCTTTAATTAAGGGAATTTTTCCCTTCTTTCTTAATTCTAATATATAATATATTGCCATGTATATTAATTTTCCAAAGACAAATGGATTAATGGGAAAATACTGTATGTGGTTAGAAGGATTGAAAATTAAATTATAATTCTAATGTAGAAGATATTTTTCCCCAAAATTATATTTATTTATTTATTAAATTTTTTACACACTGCCATCTCATGTAAATGACTCTAAGTGATCAATGATGTATTGATATCTGCCACTAAGAAATTGTCTAAAATGTATAAAGGTATTTTGAATCTTTGTTTGAAATGAGAACAACATGAAGGGGACATTTTATCATATTTGTGGACATGTAAAAAGATTAGAAAATTGAGGATACAAATACATGTGTAGCGCTACCTCCTCAGAGGCCGCCAATGCCCAGGCCCTCCCAGCCACGTCCCCCTTTTTCCAGCCTTGCAGCAATGTTCTTTAGAGATCGATGAGATGTCTTACAACCGGAACTCACGCAGCATTAATGGGTGGCAGGCTCTTCTTGTTGAAGCAGGACTTTCAGGCACGAACTTAACCAGTCACAGTGGTTGATGCTCTGAAGATGTATATAACAGCTCAGGGCTGCTTTAGCAGCAGGAGTAACAGGCCCCTGAGCAATCGTTCAGAATCCGATGAAATGGGGGGGGGGGTAA